GAATCTCATTCACAATGTTCAATATCATCCCAAAACAATTTTCTTAGCCTAATTATTTCCTTGATTGTTTACGGGCGAATCAGGCCAAAGAATGAAGAAATAAATCGTGTCACTAAGGTGACCTTGTTGCCTTGGTGCTTAGCCTCCTCCGACTTCACCTTTCACTTGAACCAACATGTATTCTTACAGTACATAGACACCTATATTGATCCGTATACTGTTTTAGTAGTCAGTCCGATCCGTTGATGATGAGGTTATCATGAGAAAATTCTGGCCCATAATAGTTTTTTGAACGATCAGACGTCAATTATTGACCATTTAATGCTAGATGACGGCAATTGCCGACAGCAGTACAATCTTTCGTATGGTGACATCATATCCCTGATGGAGATTTCGTGGATGCTAGTATAGTCGTTATGCTCTGGGGAATGTCCCAGATACAACTGCACATTTGTAGAACTTTGCATATGGTTGTGATATTGTCATTCAAAGTTGCTGATTGATCAATCCCATGCAAAAGCTTCTAAATTAAGTCAGAATTAATGAGCACCTAATACAATGCACCAAATTTGCTATGTACGTGTTCAGCTCGGCGAAGGCTACCGAGCGTTACCGATTTCATGGAGGAACGCCATTTCTTCGAGAAAGAAGGAGAAATGGCGATTTTTTAGAAAAAAAAATCCGTACGCAGAAGCACGGATTGTTAAAGGGAAATACATGTTGTACTGTACTGTACAGTGTACAGTAGAGTACAGACCCTCTATGACATACACAGTATCACAGAGGGTCTCTACTCTCTAGTGTAAGTACACATTGTATTATACTGTACTGCGATATTTCATCTGCTACAATACATACTATCGTAATTTTTAACTATTAGGTTATATAGTTGCTAACAGTATTTAACCGCTTAATCCTGAACGATATCAAATTATATATATGCGTATTCTACCATATTCATGAGGTAAAGTTATACAAACGCTTTCAATTCTCCCGATAGTAAGTCAGTAATTCTACTACATTTACTATTCATACCAATAAAACACGTATACAGAGTTCA